ACCCATGAAACTGCATTGAGAAAGAAGATCCAAAGCTTCCCGTGATTGCTCCGGGTTTGGCCGACTGTGGTCGCTTCCAATAAAGCACGGCCCAAGTTTCCCAGGGTGGAGGCAGAGATTTGAGCTCCAGGGAGCAAATGTGGGGGATGGCACTGCCTCCCCCCCGGGGTGTGAACACATACTTGCTCCAGGGCCAGGTTTCCATGAGCCAGGATGGGGGGGTGGATTTATTTGGTGGAAAAAACCACCCGTTTCCCTCTGCCCTGGGACCCGGAGTGTTCTCAGCAGTGGCTCAGTGGGGTGGCATCATCGCTCCGTGGCTTGCCTCCTCCTGCAGCCAGAGGTCCCAGCAGCTCCAGTGGGACCAAGCAGCCTTCAGGGTAGCCTTAGGGCATTGACACTGGTGCATGAGTGGACCACAAAGACATGTTATTTGGGCAGTTGGATGTGCACATCTAGGTGTGTGGATGCTGAGCTTTCATTTTCCATGGATACACATGTGTAACAACACACATACTCAGGCAAATTCAAGTTTGCATGTGTGTACATCCATTTTTCCAAAAGAAAGCCTGCAAAGAAATGGTATGAAATGTCATTTAAATATGTTTTTGAAGGAAGCTCACCAGCAAAGGGGATGCACTGAGCCATTTCAAGTGTGGCAAATGCCTTGCCCTGTGTTCTGCAGGGCTTTGCCAGCCTCCAGGCCAGCTGATGGGGATGGCACTGCTTCCCTCTCAGCAGCTTCCACTTCAAGGCCTTTGCCTGAATAAAGTGCCAGAAATCAGAGGTGGTGTGTTTCCATACAGATCACCCTCCCTTGCAGGACACATGGGGCAAAATGCCAAGGTTGCCAACCTGCTCCAGCTGTGCATGAGGATTCTTACCTCTGGGGTTCTCGGGGTTTGAGCAAAAATGAAAGATAATATTCATGTTCTCTGATGCTGCTGGGACACTGAGGGCAGTGTTGGAGTTTGCAGCCCTCCTGCCTCCCTGGGCCGAGCTGTCTGTGTTGGAGGGCAGCTAGGACATGGTGCAGCCACAACCTGGGTTTGGCCTAGGGGAGAAGATGGGGTATGAGAAACAGCTGGGGAAAGTGCTGCTGGGAATCCACCTCCTCTGCTCAGGAAAGGCATTTAAGCTCAGGTGCTCAGCCTGACTCCTCATTTGACCTATTTTGGCTGATCTGGGATGTTTTTGATGGATCTGCTCTGCTTTCCTTGCCTAGGAACTGGGATGTGCTGCTCTGCTTGGTGAGGTCCTTGCTTGCCTCGCTGATGACCTCGTTTCTCTTTCGTGCTGCTGGGAATCCACCTCCTCTGCTCAGGAAAGGCATTTAAGCTCAGGTGCTCAGCCTGACTCCTCATTTGACCTATTTTGGCTGATCTGGGATGTTTTTGATGGATCTGCTCTGCTTTCCTTGCCTAGGAACTGGGATGTGCTGCTCTGCTTGGTGAGGTCCTTGCTTGCCTCGCTGATGACCTCGTTTCTCTTTCCTTTCTTTTTTGGTGGTGATGAGGATTGAGCAGCAGCCTAAAACACTAGGAAATGCAGTTAAAAAGAGTAAAAATACTTCATGGTAAAGTGGGTAGATGTGACACCTGGGAACATGGTTTAGTGGTGGACTTGGCAGTGTTGTTTGGACCTGATGATCTTAGAGGTCTTTTCTGACCTAAATGATTCTATGAAATGTGGTTGATGCTCCTCCACGGATAGCATCAACCTGTCAGTGTTTAAACTGCATCTTTCTGTGGACTGTTTTCCAGGGTTGTGTTCCAGCACTGAAAGTCACATCAGTGTGGCCAAGCATATAAACTCTGGGATATTCCCACTTGGAAATATAATAAGAAAGCACGTGCAGGGAACATGAAGAAAAAACTCATCCTACTATTCATAGCTCCTTTAAAAATTATTTGGCCCTTGGCAGGCAGTTTTTGTTGCCACATTTTGCCTCGTGTTTATTTGTGGCTGGTGGCCAGGACACAGATTCTCGGAGATGTTATCTCAGGGGAAGGGTGGCAAAAATGGATGTAAGTTCATCAGGATAGAGGAAAAGGAAGATTTGCTTGACTATGCCCTTGATTTTCCTGCTGGCTGTGTCTCTGCAGCTCATCCCCTGAGTCCCTGCATGCAGGGGTGGAAAGTAATGTCTCTGCAGATATGCAAATACAGCAAGAACTACATAGCCCAGAGGTTAGAGGAATGGTTGTGGAGAGGAGCTCTGTGATTCTCATGCTTGAGAAAGCCTGTGAGACCCTTCTATTCCCCACAAACTGCCTGTCACTGGGACTAGGAGTTTAAACTTATGACTCTGAAGAAAGCAATTTGGATCAGGGATGAGAGAGAAGCAAAGTGTTGCCTTCTTTGCTGAGGTACAGGCACAGGGTATTTCTGCCACAGCCCTCCTGGTTGCAAACACCTCATTCCAGCCATCCTAGGGTTTGGGTTCCTACCATCCCAGGGTTTTTCATCTTCCCTCCATAAGATAATGAACAACTTGAATTAAATCAGCAAGCTGAAGAAGACTTTTGTACTGGTGTGGCTGAGTGATGTGTTATTGTTATGTACCATAATGTGGACTTTTTGGGATGTCTTTATTGTTGTCTCTGAGCCTGGGATGTGTCCCTGCTCTGCTTGTTTGCCTCTCTCCCAACCTGCAAAGGGGTATTTAAACAGCAACAGCTGCAGCCTCAACTCTGGTCAAACCAAGAGAGGTTCTTTCTGTGAATTAAAATGAGATCTTGACAACCTTGAGAGTGATTTGAGATTGTTCCCCAAGTATTCAGTCTTTGTCCCTGTGGGGCTATGTCAAGGTCTCCTATGGCAACACAAACTCTGTGAAATTCCATCCAGAGACCGTGGGATGTTCCCAGACCTTGCGGATGTGCTGGATGCTGTGGGAAGCAGGATGCCCAACACAACAATTAGGTACAAAGATATGACTCCTGCATAGCAGAGTTTTTGTGAAAGCTGGAGGGCAGATGTGAGCCAGCAGTCAGACATCCATAAGGATCAGGATATGCATGTAAAACAGGCAGGACTGCATTCATGCAGCACTGTTTACACAGAGTTGCTCCAAAGGAGGAGGGTGCCTGGGCAGTGAGAGCTGTCTGTGTGGGTGCAATGAGGAAACTGTGGATCTGGAGCTCAGCAGTTCCCTGGGTGTAACTGAACAGCATGGCTAGTTTCCTTACATGGATAGATTTACCAAAAGGAGAGGAAAAGCTTAAAATGAAAACCCCAAACATCCCAAACTCCCTCAAACCTCTGCCCCTCCAAACCCCAGCACTGATGCATTTAATGTCTCTATGCCTTCAGCTCCTGAACCACTGCTGAGCAGATGTTTGTAAACAAGGGCTGTGTGTATGGGGGGAGCACTTTGCTCATGACCTCTCTGCTATGTGTTGAAAAACAGATTGCCAAATACCCTCCTAAAAATCCCAGCATCATGCTGCATGTGGATAAAATGTTCTCAGGGCTTCTCCTTTCTGGGATGGGACAGCAAATACAATTGCTGGGAAGCAAACACTAACTGGGGGTACTTGCTGGAAAGCAGCAGTGAAGAGCAGCTGCTGAACAAAGCTCCTCTGTGACTTTGAAGGCATTTTAAGTAGTTTCTGGTTTTCTGGCAGGGCAGAGGGAGCCCTTCCTTGCCTTCCTGAGGTGGGTGGTGGCAGGTGACACCAGGCAGGGCTGTGTGACACTGAGCACTCACTGGTGCCTGTGATGCGCAGATGCAAACAGCACGTGGTCAAAAGTCAGTAGGGTGTGATAGAAATGTTTAAACATTTCCCAGAGTACAAATCTTGTGGCTGTGTTGCTTGGAGGATTAATAGGGAGGTGCTTAGCCTTCACCCTCCCCAGCTTCTGTCTTCCTGATAGAGGCAAAGAACTTGAGCTCCACCGTGCCCAGGGGATGCTGTGCTGCTTTTCTACCCAGGAAAGTAACATTTTATTTCTTTTCCGTGTGGCAAAAGTTACAACAAGGAAATGAAAAGCATGTAGATCAGTGTGTGTTCATTTCCTGGTGGGTGGGGAGATAAACTGATCAAAAAATGATCTTTGCCTTTCCTCAGGGTAAATTCATAGGAGTTTATACTTTGCTTTTTTTACCTTAAGACTTCTCTGCTTTTTTTCCCTTAAGACTTCTCTGACCCTTTCCTGATTTGTTTAGAGTTTATTTCCAGTTCAGTTGGTCAGACAGTGGTTCCTGAAAGCACTGGTCACTTGAACCAGGCTTTGCAGGCAGGAGAATGGATATTGGAGTTCCAGCTTTTCTAGGTACTAGGTAGATATAGAGAAATCAGATCCTACCTGATTAACCTCTTAATGTTGTCACAAGCTAAGGAAAGGCTTCCTGTCAGGTAGGGTCTCCTAATTGCCTATGGAAGCAGAAGGGATTAAGGTTGGCTTTCTGTCTCATTCCAGGTATTGGATCGGGGACATTCAGGACTATGTGTGGTTGTCATCCAAAACTGAAGGCTAATGCTCATCTCTGCCTGCCTGCTGTGTTCTCCACCTGAAACCATTGCTGGGTGATGCCATATTAGGTAACCTATAATGAGATGACATTTATAGCAAGAATAGCCTGGGTTCTTCCCTGTCCCCTCACCCTGATGCCCCAGGGACACCTGCCTCGGCTGCAATAGATGCTGAGGCCAGGCAAGCAAACGTGGTGAGTCCATATGTGGGTAAGTGCTAAAGTTGTGCTTCTTGCCAGGCCTTGGCTCTCCTGGCTGCCACTGACATTGCTGTCCTCAGATGCCCCTCACATAGACCTGCAGGACATCAAGTATAAATGGTGAGGTTTCACAGGGTAATAAAACAGGGTTTTCTGTCTATTAATCAGGTGAAGACCACAAAGCCCTTGAAATAGCCCCCAGCCAAACCCAGAGCATCCCCCACAACAAAGGCACTGAGCATTGCACCTCTGCCATTCTCCAGTGAGATCCCTGGGCTCAGGTGAGGAACATCAGAGGTACAGAGCCCTTCCCCTGACCATCATGGAGCCCACAGCTCACACGCAGAAGGAGGTCCCTACCCCTCCTAGAACAAAGACAGCAGAAGACCTGACCTGTGAGTTAAATGCTGCAGTGAAGAACAGAAAAAAAGAACTTGTGCTAGAGCTGCTGGAGCAAGGGGCTGATGTGAACTCCAAAATAGAAGGTGGCTGGACACCACTGCACACTGCTGTGCAGTCTGGTCAGGAGGACATGGTCAGACTTCTGCTGGACAAAGGTGCTTGTCTGTATGACAGGAAGGACAACGGTGGCACTGCATTAACTGAGGCAGGGATAGCAGGAAATGTGAATATACTGGAGCTCCTCCTGGACCGTGGGTTAAATATTAATGACCATGACATCAATGGCTTCACAGCTTTCATGGAGGCTGCATGGTACGGGAGGGAGGAAGCCTTGAAATTCCTGTATAGCAGAGGAGCAAATGTGAATTTGAGGAGGGTAACTACTGAGGAGAAAGCCAAACTGCATAAAGGAGGTGCAACAGCTCTGATGGATGCTTGTAAGGAGCGTCACTTCTCATCTGTAAAACTCCTTGTCGAAGAGATGGGGGCTGATGTGAACATTCGTGACAACAGAGATAAGAATGCCTTGATCCATGCCCTAAAGAAGGGTTCAGACAAAAAAAGATATGAGTCAGCTGTTTCCATAGTTCGTTTCCTGCTGGACCACGGTGTTGATGTGAAGAGCAGGGATGAATGTGGGAAAACTGCCCTCATTCTAGCTGTTGAAATGCAGAATGCAGAGTTGGTGACAGCTTTACTGGAGAAAGATGAAATAGATATTGATGATGCAGATGAGGAGGGCAACACAGCACTGATGGTGGCTGTAGAGAACAGTGACTGCAATATAGCAAAGCTGTTGTGTGAAAAAGGAGCAAGGACTGATGTTGGGAACCTTATCACAGTTGCAAAGAGGAATCGTTCTCTTAGCATGGAAAATCTTCTTCTTGCATATAACACCACATTTGTTCCAGAACCCCCCAGAGACTGGGAGCCAAACAGCAAACGCTGGAGGGACCAGCTGAAAAAACTTGATCAAATGTATCGCCCTATGATTGGTAAACTGAAGACATTTACATACATCCAGCAGAGAATTCAGGATGGCATCTACCTTGGGTTCCATGGAAGGACAGAGGTAGCAGTAAGAGTAACCCACAGTACAGAGGGTGACAAAGAGAAAAGGTTCTTTGAACAATGTTGTCACTGTGAACATCTACTGAAGCTCTTCCAGACTGAGAAGGCAAAAGGTTGCATGTACTTGTGTTTCCCTCTCTGGGAGAAAAACCTTGAAGAACATCTGCAGGACCCAGAAGATCAAATGGATTACAAAGCTGCTCTGAAGATGATCTTCCAGTCGCTGAGAGAGCTGCACTCCCTTGGATTTGCTCACCAGGATCTGCAGCCCAGGAACTTTGTAATAGGTTATCTTTTGCTTTCTTTGTTTCCCTTTTCCTTTCCCATTCCTTGTAGTTTAGAGATGATACTTCATAGCTGTCTGTAAAAATACAGATGTCTTTATGCAGAATGGAGTGTCTGTGGCATTAGATCTCCTCTCTGGATAGGTATAGAGGAGGCTGAGGGAGCTGGGGGTGTTCAGCCTGGAGAAGAGGAGGCTCAGAGGAGACCTTAGCACCCTCTACAACTCCCTGACAGGAGGTTGGAGTCAGGTGGGGGTTGGTCTCTTCTCCCAGGCAACCAGCAGCAGGACAAGAGGGCACAGACTCAAGCTCTGCCAGGGGAGATTTAGGTTAGATATTAGGAAGATATTTTTTTATGGAAATTGGAACGTGCTGCCCAGGGAGGTGGTGGATTCAGCATCCCTGGAGGTTTTCAGGATGAGACTGGATGTGGCACTTAGTGCCATGGTCTAGTGACTACGGTAGGGTTGGACTCAATGATCTTGGAGGTCTTTTCCAACCCAGTTGATTCTATGATTCTATGTTCACAGACAGTCACTGAGGAGTGAACAGAACAACCTTACGTGTCTCATTAGCTGTGCCCTCTTTTCCAGGGCTTTGCAGACAGACCAACCTGTAGCAGATCTCTTTAGAAAATTATTTTCTAAAGAAGGGGCCATCTAGTAGACAGTGATGGACTGTATTGAGGTTTTCTACTGTTATTTGTTAACAATTTATCTTACTTCCTCAGATTTAAGTGGCAAAATTTACTTGGCAGACTTTGATAATAAAAGAAAGTTAATTGAAGGGCGAGAAGAACTCATAAACTCAGATTTAGAGGTAAGTTCTCTGCAATTCAACCCATGGTTTAAAATTTCCAGTGCTCTCTGATATTTTCTGCTACTGTGAGACCTAGGGAAATCTTTTCTGCACCTTCAACTAGAAAACCCCTTGGTTTGTGGGGAAGCCCATGTAATGATAGATGCTGCATAAGAATGATAATGATTAGGGTGCAAGGCTGTACCTGATCCTGGGATATCCACAGATCCCCTGACAGCAAGGTTACCATGCTTGTCTCCTCTGTTCTTGTGCACACAGCTTCAAAGTTTGTGTTGGTGTGTATTTGTATACTTCTGGGCACATAGAGGGTTTAGGAATATGAGTTCTCTTCCACTTAGTAAGAAGTTTCATGCATTTGGCACATGAGCAGCGATGTGTTTCTTTGCAGGCCCTTGGCAGGCTCATGCTGTACGTTTTAACAGGGGGTAGGAAACCCCTTGAGCAAGTTGGAATCAAGGATTTGGTTGCTCATTTCCCAGATTCCATGGAGGCTCTGGACCTTGTAAGATGCCTGTCCTCTCATGATGAACGAGGCTTGGAAGGTTTGAGCAAGCATCCCTATTTCTGGAGCAAACAGATGTAAGTCCTGGGAATACAAGGAGAAAGCTTTCAGTCCAGGCCTAGTGCTGGCAGTGCTGGCAAGAACAATGTCCTGCTGTAGCTAATGAACCTTCTCATTCCACAGCAAGTTCAACTTCCTGAAGACAATATGGAATCAAATCAAAGATATCCCCTACCCTGTCCGAAAAACTGTTTTTCAAGATCGTAATATTACTGAAAAGTTTCCTTATCCACAGTGGACCAATGAGGTAATCCTCTTGTCTTTGGATTGATATGAGGTTTGAGCTACACATTCAGGCAGAAGTTTTCCCAAGTGTTTCACAGGATCTGTTAAAAAATGTAACTGGGAAAAGCAGCTCCATGTAAATGACAACTGGGGGAAACAAATCTAAGCCATGTAATCAAAAGACATTGATGCTAAAGGGAGTTCTGTTAACTGGGGTAGTCATTACAGAATTAGCTGGCAAACCTACAAAGGCTGGTGACCACTTAAGACAAGGACCTCTGGCCCTTGTTGCCAGCAAATTTCTGGCAAAAGGGTTTTGTTAATTGTCTCAAAAGCAATGAGACCAGGCCTGCTTCTGCAGGTAACATCATGCCACATCATTTGGGATCCAACAGTCTCAGTTCAGTACAGCAGCCCATGTGGTCTTCTCATCAGTGGCATGGTTGGATCAAGACTCACAAGTCCCTCCTGCCCTCCAGGCATGCATGAAAATCATCTGTGCTGTGTTGACAGTCCTAATATGAATGGCACATCTGGGCACGGCAGGAGAGAAAAGACTTAGCAGAATCAGGGGGGCTGTCTGGCACATGTCCTGCAGAGTGGACTCTCCTGCTCATCTTGGGAAATAGGCTTTTAGGGGTCAGGACATTTTCCTATGCAAGATGATGTCCCTGTGGAAAGGCAGTGACTGCAGTGAGTGGCAGTAGATGTACTGCTTTCATGGGATGTGAAAGGCAGAGAATAATCTATGTGCTTTCTTTCAGATTGACAAAGACATTCTAGATGTCATGGAAAATCCTAAGAATGCAAAACATAGAAGACCTAGAAATGATGGCACCAAATTATACCACTACAGCAACGATGTCACCGACCTACTGAGGCTCATCAGAAACCTGGATGAACACAAAGATGAAGGGTATATGTTCACATCCTTGCCCCTGCCACAATTCCATAGAATATCCAAGTTGGAAGAGATCCACAAGGACCACCAATGGCAGGCTTTACCCTGGACAACCCCAACAATCACACTTCTTGAAGTCTGTCAGGCTTGGTGCTGTGACCACTGCCCTGGGGTGCATGGTCCAGTGTCCAAGCACCCCCCGGGTGAAGAACCTTTTCCTAATATCCAGCCTAAATCTCCCCTGACACAGCTCCATGCTGTTCCCTCAGGTTCTGTCAGTGGTGAGCAGAAAGCAGAGATCAGTGCCTGCCCCTTTGCTTTCTTTTGAGAGGGAGCTGCAGGCTGCTATGAGGTCTCCCCTCAAGTCTCCTCTTCTCCAGGCTGAACAAACCCAGTGACCTCAGCCATTCCTCAACCCTCTCTAGCCATGGTCACTCACACTTGAGGTTAGAGGTGGTGCTAGCTCCTGGTGATAGTTTCACTGATTGGTAGCCAGCACTGCCCTTTAGTGTATGAAAATGCAGGTGGGATTAGGCAGATGAAGGAGAATAGCAAAAAAATAAAAAGAGAGATCAAGGAGTTTAGGGAAGGTATAGAAAAGTTGCAGCTTCCAGATTTTTAGGATACCTTTCTGTGTTTTCAGAAAGCCTCCAGAATGGCTTTTTGTCTGCAAGGGTGGAAGCAGGGCATCCTGGACTACTGACTCCTTGGGCAAGCTTAAAAAATCATTTTGGGTTTTGTTCTCTTACAGGATCAGCAACAAAATAGGAGACTATGCCGAGTATTTCCTGGAGGTTTTCCCAAAGCTTACCATTTATGTCTACAACAGTTTATGCCAGAACCCCAAATACAGTCACTTTGCAGACATTCAGGACCCTTCTCTGTAGGATGTCATTGCCTCCTGCCCATGTCTGATCCATCACCACTGCCTCATTTTATTCTGCAAAAGAGTTGGAGTGGGTAAGGAGATGGGAGTGAGCACATGCAGGGACAGAGCATGGAGGACTCAAACATGGAAATGAAAGATGCTTCACAAATGTTTGGTGTAACAACCATAAGCTTTGGAGAGCAACCAAATTGAGTGTAAGCCCAGGTTCCCCCTGAAGACTTACCACTGTTCATCTTGGATTTTCTAGCTCTGAGAGGTGAAGATCAAGGCCCTGATCCTTATGGAGAGCAGGGAGATGTGGGACAGTCCTTGTATTCCCAGCACATCTGGGAGGCAGGAGAAGAGCTCAGGTATTGCCAGATGACATGGGACTCTGATAAAGGAAAAGGAGTTTGAGCTCCTTGCAAGGGCCCATATTCCCTACAGCTTGCACTGATGAATGGCTCATCTACCCCTAGAAAGACCTGGATTCTCTTTTCAACCTTTTGGAAACACAGCAGCCAGAGAAATGGTATGTCTGGCAGCAGAGGTGGCCTTGGCTGTTGTCCCTCTGATCTGATAGAGGCACACTCTGGGACCTGAAAGACTTCCATATGGAGGATGCAGGAGATCCTTTCACAAAGACTGGATGTAATGAGCATGATCCCACAAAACTCTGCTACTGTGAGTAGTCCTGACCCACCTGAAAATGGTCACTGATGTCAAAGGGACTTCAGGGACCTCTTCCTCCTGGAAAAGACAAGCTCTGCCATGGCAGGGCTATGCACAAGAACCCCCTGTCTCCAAAACAGCTGCTGTGCCACTGAACTCCTGCCAGACTCAGCTCCCTTGCACAGAGCTGGTGTCCATGCAGCCAGTTTGGAGCTTAGATATTGGAAGTTATGTGGCACAAAACCCTTTGAGATCCTGTGGTGTGCGATGTGTCTGGTTGCCCGAGGGCTTGCTCGTTTCTCTGCAGATGCTCTGATTTGCAACATAATTACGTTGTTATGGAAATATTTGTCAGCTGCTGTAAAGTTGTTCTTGGATTTTTTGTTTTCAAACCAAAGTTGTTGTTCTTTCAGTTTGCCCACAGAGAAACAAACTTGAAATAAAATTGCCTGGAAAACCGACTCTGCACTCATTTAGGAATGAGGTTCCACCATCCTCTCTGCACAGAAGGAAATAGTCTGCAGCACTATCAAACTACCACCTGCATCAGTGGTCGTGGCTCAGAGTAAAGGACCTTCTGGTGGTCCTGGGAACCATAATGGAAGTTTCACTGTGCAACTGTGTGCTGGTTTGAGCTGAAGTAGAGTTGACTTTCTTCACAGAGGCTAGTATGGGACTATGTTTGGGTTTTGTGCAGAACACAGAGTTGATAAGGCAGAGATGTTTTTGTTATTGCTGAGCAGAGCTCACAAAGAGTCAAGGTCTTTGCTGCTTTCCATACTGCCATGCTGGCAAAGAAGTAGGGGCTGCATGGGAGCTTGGGAGGAGACACAGCTGGGACAGGTGACCCAAACTGACCAAAGGGATATTCCATACCATAGGACATCATGCTCAGTATATAAGGTGGGAGGAAGAAGGAGGAAGGGGGAACATCTGGAGTGATGGCGTTTGTCTTCCCAAGGAACTGTTACACGTGATGGGCCCTGCTCTCCTGGAGATGGCTGAACACCTCCTGTCTGTGGGAAGCAGTGAATTAATTCCTTGTTTCGCTTTGCTTGTATGTGCAGCTTTTGCTTTCTCTATTAAACTGTCTTTATATCAACCCATGAGTTTTTGTAGCTTTTACCCTTCTAATTCGCTCCCCCATCCCGTTGGTGGGGGAGTAAGTGAGAGGCTGCTGGTTCTTGGCTGCTGCTGGCTGTTGAGGTGTCAGAGAAAATGCAACCAGGAGACACTGACTGCTCTTGTGCCAATATTTTTATATTTTCCTTTCCTCCCTGCTCTTTTTTTTCCCCCTCACTGTCTCTTTCTCATGCCCAGAACACCCAGAGATGTGTGCCTAGGTCTCAGCATCATGGAAAGCAGGGGTGCTATGGGGACCCCTGTGCTGCAGCAGCATTTCTGTTCTTGCATGAGAAGAGGTGAGGCCGTGGTTGAACTCCTTCAACCTCTTGTAGAATGCCACATTTCCAAATTGCTTTGACCTTGCATCTTCTTCCATCACTCTGATGTTTTGCTAAAGGGTTGTGATTTGGCAGCCTTAAAGGGCATGCCCAAAACAGAGCAATGATTGAACATGTAGAGGCTGTGACTTGTCTCTCCTAGGCAATCCAGCTGCTACAAAGAATTTCCAGAAGATGTTCATGTGGTCTTCAGGGCTATGTCCTGCTTTCCAAGAAGCCAGAGGTACCAGCAGGCTGGTGTCAGAGATGAATCTTGATCCATGCATATCATCTGCAGAGCTGATTGCTCATGGAGCATCAAGCCATGGGAGGAGAGGGGAATGCAGGATTGGGACCAAGGCCAGGGAACACACCAGGCTACCTCACCCAGGAGGATGGGTAAATGCTTAGTGAGATACCAGGCAGGATGGAAAACCAGGGGCAAGAGCAGCTGGATGGTACTGTGGCTGGGTGATGTGGCAGGGTCTGATGGCACAGCTTAGGGATGGAGGTGTCCTGGTGAGCCACCTGCCTATATCAGTGCTGCCTGCTGCTGGCTCCCAGCATCAGAGCCCATCTGGGAGGTGCTGCCTGCCTTTGCCTTGCACAGACAGGCTTGCATACCCAAGCATGGTGCCCAGGGGCATGTTGATTTAACCCCACATGCTTCATTCCCCTTCTGTCATGCCTGTATGTTGTGCATTTGCTGTGTCTCTGCCTTTTTACTCTGCTCCTGCTGGGTGATGCCCCAGGACAGCTGGCTCAGCCCAATGTGATGGGATCAGGTGCTCCCTATCCTGGCACTTGCATGCTAAGGACATGCTTGTGTGCACAGGGATGCTCCCAGGCCAATGTGGCTCATCTGCTGCACTGAAAAACAAAACCACAAATCAGTCCACAGAAGCAGTGGAGTGAAGGTTGTTCTTAGCTGTGGTTTTGCTGTGCTGAGCTTCAGGCACATCTGTGTAAAGGGACTGGGCTCAGCTGGGTTCAGGAGTTGTTAGTGCAAAGCTGACAAAAATGCAGCAAGCTTTTGGGGCTGCAAGCTTTTGGGGCAAAATCAAGTTACAGCAGAAAGGCAACTTTAAAGAGCAGGTCATATTTCATGTTGTAGGATTGGCATTAGGTTTCCAAACCCTTCATTTAACTAAATATTCTTGGACTTTGCATTTGGGTATTTTTGATCCTCCAGAAGCTAAGTGTTGATAATCATAACTGACAAATATGAAACATGTTGTCATCTGCCTTAAATGTACTATTCCCAGCATGCAGTCTGCTAGGATCTGAGGGATAAAAAGTGGCTAAAATATCTCATAATGACAAAGCTGAGAGCTTGGCTCTGACAAGGTCTTGATAAAGGTTGTGGTCTTTTCTTTAAGAGGTCCAGAGAACATAGGAGATTTCTGCAGCTTCCTGGTAACATGGTAAAGACACTCTGACTCAGTTTCACCTGGGAAAAATGAAGGCCTTTGATATGATTTGGTTAGTGCTTTGTAAACATACTGCCTTAAAAAAAACCCCAAGAAAATCATCCCAAAAAGCATGTTGAAGCCCCAGTCAGGCAGGAGCTAATTTTGATTGGAAAATCAGAAAAGCTCTGGCAAGACAGGCACCATTTCACCAGCGAACCAGGTGGGCTCTCTCAGCCTTGCCACCCACAGGAAGCATTTAATTTGTGTGGAAAGCATGGAGGGATGAGGAGCTGAGCTCTAGTGGTGAGCTGTGCTCACAGGGGAAAGCAATCCCAGGCCTTAGTGAGAAGCACAGTACCCTGTGCAGCAAGGCTGGAGCAGCTTCTAGTGTTGGGTGATCTTTGAGAAGCTCCTTCCTCAGGCAAAGTATTTACTGTGACTACTCCCTGTCTTTAAGCAGCTTCCAAATTTCTTGGGAAAGACCTCAAAGGTGGTGGTGTGCTGTGCACCCAGTGTGACTTGTTATTTATCCAGTGTGCTGTTACTGTATCCCAGCTATGGGCGGTGCAGTATTTTATAGCTACATGTGAGCAAAGAGAGCTGTGTGGACAAGTGGATCTCCTCAGCTGGAAACACATCATGGCATGTAGGGACATGCCATGACTGCAGAGGTGAAAGCTGCAGTGCTATGTTACCAGGTAAGCTGGAGTATGCCATGAGTTGCTTTACTTTTAGGTCGTATTGCTGATGAAGTGCAAACTATTCGGTGTGTCCAGGCTGCTCAGCTTCCTTAGAGCAAACCTCTGTCCTACTCCATGAGGGTGGTGTGTCGGGAGGGCTGTTGGTCCCTGGAGGGCTGTCCTCTCCTTGCTGCCTGCAGGGAAGGGAGAGATCTTGCATCAGTGGCTGCTGCTGGAGGCAGGGTGAGGGTGATGGAGATGAGCACATTGTCGTGTGCTCCCAGGGAGGAGCTCAGGGCATACAGAGGTGCAGCAGCTGTGAGTTTGCTGTCAATGTTACTGGAGATGGCAGAGGTGACCAGCATCCTGTACAAACCTTTGGGCTTTAAGGGGAGTTGTAGCTTGTGCTGGTGTGGTCTGGGGGAGATAGACTGCTCTGTGACCACCTACCTGCTCTGCAGGGCAGACTTGCTGAGGGAGAGCCTTTTCTCAAGATTTTCATCTGCATCTGAGAAAAACAACATGCACAAACTTCCTACCCCAGACTGCTGCAAGGAGCCCTAAAGCCCAGCTCCCACCCCTGCAGACAGAGCTCCCCTCAGGAGCAGGAGTGCTCCTTTCAAGTCCGGCTCATCTTTTTGCTCCTCTAAAAGCTCAGTTTCCTCCTGGGCCTCTGGTAGCAGAATCTGGAGGCCTTTCAGCATCGAGAAGACAATGCCAGTGTAATTATCTGGTGAGGAAGAAGAGCTGGAGAGGTACTGTGTGGCAAGCACTTTGCTTGCAAATGAGGACAGCAGCGTTGCCCCCCT